TTACATAATATTACAAAATATTACAAAATATTACATAATACCACATAAGATTACATAAGATTACATAAGATTACATAATATTACATAATATTACATAATACTACATAAGATTACATAAGATTACATAAGATTACATAATATTACATAATATTACATAATATTACATAAGACTACATAAGATTACATAAGATTACATAAGATTACATAAGATTACATAAAATTACATAATATTACATAAGATTACATAAGATTATATACACAAGATTACATAAGATTACATAAGATTACATATAATATTACATAAGATTACATTGACATAAAATTACATAAGATTACATAATATTACATAGGATTACATAAGATTACATAAGATTACATCAAATTACATAAGATTACATATAAGATTACATAAGATTACATTGACATAAGATTACATAAGATTACATAATATTACATAAGATTACATAAGATTATATAAGATTACATCAAATTACATAAGATTACCTATAAGATTACATAAGATGACATAAGATTACATAAGATTACATAATATTACACAAAATTACATAATATTACATAAGATTACATCAAATTACATAATATTACATAAGATTACATAAGATTACATAAGATTACATCAAATTACATAAGATTACATATAAGATTACATAAGATTGCATAAGATTACATAATATTACATAATGTTACATAATATTACATAATATTACATAAGATTACATAAGATTACATAAGATTACATAAGATTACATAAAATTACATAAGATTATATACACAAGATTACATAAGATTACACAAGATTACATATATATAATATCTCCCCATCACATTGTAATTTAAACTCATCTGAATCATGTCAGTCGTGCTGCAACTTTTCCAAGAACCGCCCGGGTTCCTCCTGCTCCACCACGTCCTCAGGGATGGTTTTCATGGGAAAACCATAGGAAAAACCATAGGAAAACCCTGGGAAAATGAGGATGTAGCCTCTGGTAAACAGTCTCAAAAAACGAACTGGAAAGATACACCATGCTAATGGGAAAATCAACGAAATTTCGACTGGGCCATGTTCAATAGCTATTTTGCCAGAGGGTAAATGGAACGGATTTCACCAACCCCAAAATTGGATCCCACTGCTTCGGGGAGCTGGCCATCTCGGCTGGCCATCTGTTCCACTTACCACGGATCGTCACTGGCAAGTGGGGTTACCCAAATGTATGGTATGTAATGTAATGTCATGTCATGTATTGCAATGTAATGTAATGTATTGCATGTATGGTATGGTATGGTATGGCATGGCATGGCATGGCATGGTATGGCATGGATGTATGTATGCGAGCATATATCCAATATCGTTATCAAAATCACAAATAGCAAGCATGTTCAATATCTGAGAGCGATTTAGAGCAACAAACTAGCCGCAAGTTCGGGCGCAAATAAGCGCAAGCGAGGAAACAAGTCTGGCCTATAGAGCCTAAGGAGCATCCTTTCAAAACATCAAGCATGTAAATATCCAATCATTATTGACATTTTGGAAACAAGCAAATCTCAAAACCGGCAAACAATGATAGCAATTGAAGATCCAGTTTTTATCAAACCCATTCGCTCCCAGAACTTAACATAGCTATGGTATAGAACTTACTTCAATGACTTAGCCACCAATAAATGGCGCTAACATCATACTTTTTAAAGCCATGTTCAATAGTTATCTTAGGCACCATAGGGATACCCCAAGTTTCATGAAAATCAGCCATCCCAGCGACACGCCCAGCGCGCCCGGCGCGCCTGCTCCTGCCTCCTTCGGCGTCGCTTATCGACACGCCCGGATTTCAGGATCTTGTTGATCTCCCTGAAGCTGCTCCAAAACGTGGAGGCGAAGTGATCTATCTATCTATCTATATATATATATATCGGTAAATGTGTATACTTGTATACGTCTATATTTTTTGTATATATCTCTCTCTCTCACCATGGTAATTGATCTCATTTCCATCTATTCCATATCATTCCATATATTTCCATATCAACCTAAGTTGCAAGTACTTTGGCTCCGTCCGAGGCACGTCAGGCGGGTTCCGGGACCAGCAGTTGAAGGTCTCTCCTTCTCCTTCTCCTTCTCCTTCTCCGTCTCCTGTGGAACAGGGGGTGGTACATGTCTTTTCACATCACCAAACTATTGGACACACCATCCCCAACAAATACCATGGTTTTGTTCCCAGGTGATGTTCGAAATTCGCAAACAATATGGATATTCATGGAAGTTCGAGATTGCAGGCTTGATCTGATGGAAAGGCCCATGGTGTCTACAAATATAGCTGATTGGTGGTTTCAACACCTCTGACAAATATGAGTTCGTCAGTTGGGGCTATTATTCCCAATTAATATGGAAAGTCATAATCCATTCCATGGTTCCAGTCACCACCAACCAGATAAAATCTATTCAAAGGAATGGCGGGTCCTTTTAGGTCGAAGTCTTCCTAAAACCACTTCTGAAATGTTGCTGTAGCCCTAAAACTCATCCCATGTTCGCTCGGATGTTCCATGATTTTAAATGATTTTCCATTACAAAGCACATCTTTTTAAGGGGAAACCCCATGGCTATGGAAATCTTCCATCCCAACATTGTCTTTCCCAAAAATATGACCCCATCCCCAATTTATATGCTCAAGTGGGGTCATCATGGGTCATCCTCCAAAGGATAGATGGCAAAACATATGTTGAACCAGGACCTACCCTCTGGTAAATTCACGTAGACCCTGGCAGTCATCGGGGTTGGATCATATCAGTTTCCATTAAAACTAGGCTATTTTCAGGGTCCAACTGTTAATTTACCAGAGGGTATCTTTATTTCTTCATGTTATATTCCATTGATTTTCCTGGCTAGTTCTACTAGTTCTATCATTCAGAACGCCATGAACAACCACACAAAAACCACTGTTGATGAAGTAACTAAAAGTAATGCATATGATTAAGATTGATGAAATATGAAATAGAATTAAGTTACGAGTCATGAATTTTGAGCACTATCTACATCTGTATTTGCTGCATAATTAGATCTAATTAGTATCTATCATCATCAACGGTATCAACCGCTGCTGACCACTTGCACTATCAACGACCCGGAGACACTATTATTGATAGAATATATTATACGCCCATGTTTGTTGGATATCTGGCCACTACATCATTCAAAGATTCGGATCCCGATGTGATTGGGATAGTGTCGATAATTCAAAAACTGACTTCCAAGTCTACTGACAAGAATTGCTTACCAACTGTCGTCAATAATGAACTTCTAGGCTGTTTAATTGGAGGAGTGTCACTTAAGTATCAGAATATATCATAATCTCACTATTTGGGTGGCAGCCACTGGTTCATACACCATTGTGAACAAAGAAAAAAGGAGTTGACTTTTTCAGCATCAACATCCATCACAATGGTTGCTTGGGATTCCATGGTATTTCCCCATAGTCACCCCCGGTTTGTTACGGTTGTTTTACCCAACATCCGTCAAATCTGTGATTTATGAAATGCTGAAGTCAAAACAGTCAAAACCTGTAGTTCTCCAATAAAGAAAACTTCACCAACGCCGTAGTCAACCAACACATGTATTATATCATCAAATTCGGATAGATAAAAAATTATCTAATTGGTGGTTTCAACCCCCCTGAAAATATGACAGTCAGTTTGGATCATCATCCCAACTATTGGGGAAAATAACAGCCATGTTCCAAACCACCAACCAGTTATAGATCACAAAATAATTCACCAGCCTGAAAAAAAGGCCATCGGGGGATGATTCCCCTTACTTTTTTCATCATTCCAGTGACACTGCAGTGAGCTCACGTCACATAATTCACCTCAAGTCCCGCCAATAGTCACCCCCAGCTAGAAAGTATAATCTGTCACATATTATGTCTCACTATATTCTAGCGGGATTGGACTTTTCTATCTAGGTGTTATGAAAAAAAACCTGGAGCTATCCCCAGATACCCATGGTGACGACTGGAGATCCACCATTTAAAGAAACTGTCATTCAATGGATTGGTTTTATTTGGAGAATCTACACGAAACCATGGATTTTCCCATTGTATACGGGGCTTTCCGGTTAAAATTGTTCCCAAGAAAACCAATCCATTGATATCCAACTATATTTCATGGTAAACCACTATATTTGATGGTAAAAACCCATGTCAACCCCGTATACAATGGGAATGGCTCGCCTCTTCCGAGCTCTGCTCCATCGAGCCCGCGCTGAAGGGCCGCAGTTCCCACATGGCGGACGGTGGGCGAAAATCTCCCTTTAGCACTTTGGGGGATGGGTTATAGAACCCCGAAACAAATATATAAATGATGACTTGGGGAGAGTTTTTTATGACAGATTGGAAAATTGATTTACCAGATTCATCTTAGATCTATAGTTTTTCTCAAGCTGAGCATTCTGTTCGCACATTCTTTTTTAACAATATCTGCGAACATGAAGCCATCTTTAACCAGAATTTACTCGAATTCATGGATGATTTGGGTTCCAACACAGGCCAGGATGGATGAATCACGTTTTTGCTCCAAGATTCTGATGCAAGGCTCACGGGCTGGTTGATGCTGGTTGCTGCTTTGAAACGCTCAGTTCTGTTGGACGGGACTGTTTTCATATGTTTCATCGTTTCTTCGTGTCCATGTGCTTCTCTTGGCCTATTTATCTGCACACCTCGAGCCAAAACCCGGAGATGTTTTTCCATGGCCACCGGTCGGCACGTCCTGGTAGCTGTGGCCAAGATTCAACGTCACTATGGACCCATGGGTCTCCATAAAAGAACGATTCCCAAACTGCAAAACCACCAAAAAAAAGTATTTCATAGTATTTCTATAAGATTATGATAGATTATGTCTTTACTAACCATCATTTACTAACCATCATTGGTTTGTCCAAAAATTCCAGCCAGCAGCACCTACCAGCGGTAAAACCACCGCGCTGGGCATCGGACCATTCCGCGCAAAGAGGCTGGGGGAACTCCCGAGGCTCTGCACCTGAGCTGGGTGAAAGCCTGGCGATTTTTGTCTGGGAAAAACCCAGGAATTTGACCAACTTGAAGTTAGAACAACAAAATATATATATATATAACAAAAATGTCTGGGAAGTGCCAACTAGAATCGTTGTGCAGTTTGCGAGGTTAAGACCATACATTCTCACGTCTGGAGCTATGCACGCCATCTCGCCGGTCACCCTGCGCAGTCTGACTATGACCATTGGAAAATCGAGCCACTTAAGTTGGATCAGATTGAGTCTTTTCAATAGAAACTTCACACCATTTTAAGTGGTGTCCATTTTCCCATTCTTACCCTTTGCTAACCCAACATAGCTATGAAACATGTGAAAATGAGAGTTGAAAAATACTTCTCCAACATGGTGATTTTCCAGTTCGCAAAGTGTGAGTTCCTTCGTTTACTGGAGGGTATCCAGGGTATCCATCCACTTGCACCGGGAAAACTCCCCTTGGCACCACATCGGCCAGGACGGCTTCAGGACAGCGTTCCAAGGCTAAGAAGATGAAGAGCTCGCCATGGACCTTGAAATATGGGGTCCATGATATCCATGGATTCTGGGAAAACTATATGGATTTAGTGGATCTTAATGGGATTTTCATGATTTTTAGTGTGTCTTAATGGGATTTTCATGATTTTTAGTGGATCTTAATGGGATTTTCATGATTTTTAGTGGATCTTAATGGGATTTTCATGATCTTTAGTGTGTCTTAATGGGATTTTAATGATTTTTAGTGGATCTTAGTGGTACTTTAATGGGATGTTAATGATTTTTAATGGATCTTAATGGGATTTAGTGGATCTTAATGGGATTTTAATGGATCTTGATGGGATTCGATGGATTACTTTACCGGCTTTCTCCTGCCAAGCCACATCTTTGCAATCCAAGTTCTCTCCAATTCCAGCCTCGCTTGGCCGAAAAAACATGGCAATTTCAGATCTCCAGGATTAGAAGAGCCTACAACTAATCATCTCCTAAATTTCTCCCCCATAATTTGACGGTTAAGTGTTGATGGTGTTGATGCTGATTAAGGTTTACCTGGTTTACCTGGTTTACCTGGTTTACCTGGTTTACCTTCCCAAACTAGATCTGTTGCAGCGTTCTCAGCAACTCATCAGCACATAGCAACAGGGCACATATCGCGACACTTCGGAGAAGAGATCCTCGGTGCTGACTTGGCGGAGGCAAATAGGGAAAGACAACATGAAATTCAGTGGGTTCTCCATCAAAAATACGAAAAATACTGGAAACATCTGCAAACATCTGTCCAAATGCACTGGAAACCTGGAAACATCCAACTGAGGACCCTTTGGTCCTTCGGTCAATATTCATGGGACTCTGCTAGTCAGGCAGGTCAGCATCACATCAGGCCTCTTTTTGGTTTGCATCATGGTGAGTAGCAATTGACAACGCCAAATCGGCTGAATAACATTAGCCATTTAAAGTTGTATTCCGGCCGAACATCATCAAGCTATAAACAGGGTTGCTCCCAACACCCCAGATAGAAGCGGCGTTTTTAATCGCGAGGAAAAGAAACACAACTATCACATACTACCACTATTTTCACCGTGTGGATGTACTTTACCCATAAATCCCTATAACGGGAGTGAGGATTCTGGTTCCTTCAACCACTCAACCACCAGAAATACCAAGTTGTCAATTTTAAACCTTATAAAACCTCCATAAACATCATAAATCAACAATTCTCCCAAGTTTCCCCAAGAAATTTCCACATCTTTCCTGGAAATTTTTGGGCGTCCCGACATTTTGCACCGCCCAAAGGATCTCCGGGGTGCACAGTGGCACGGCGCCCGAACGCAGTCCGGCGTCCTACAGGGACATGGGGGATTTCATGGGAATTGATGGTGGTTCATTGGGATTTTATGAATTTTATGGGGGGGAATACCCTCTGGTAAACAAACATAGTCATTTATAGTGAGTTTTCCCACTGAACATGATGATTTTCTATAGTTATGTTAGTTTACCAGAGGGTATCTCATGCCAATGTCGTTACCCCCAGATAGAAAGTATCATCATGTATCACATAGCCAATGTCTCACTATATCTAGTTGGTGGTGCAATAACCATCTTGAAAAATGATGGAGTTCGTCAATGGGAAGGATGACATCCCATGTATGGAAAATAAAATTCATGTTTGAAACCACCAACCAGATTGGGATTTTATGAAATTTATGGGGGGGAATATCAATGATGTCGCAGTCGCAGTCAGGTCGGTCAAATTCACCCAGATAGAATTCGGATTCGTTGAACCCGGCTAGCGCTGCGTAGAGATTCGCAAAAGAAAAAAGGCTGAAAATGTGACTAATGTGGCTAAGACAATCAGAAACCATCCCCCAGTCATCACAATTTTGATGGGTGGTATGTTTAACATTCCCAGTGGGTAGTTTATGACATTGTTTTACCCACATTGGTAATCATTAACCACTAATTAGTACCAGAATGTACCATCATTAACCAACAAATATAACCATTAGCATTACCATAGTTAGCTTCATCTATAGTTATCATTACCATTACCATACCATTACCATTACCATTACCATTACCATTACCATAGTTAGCTTCATCTATAGTTATCATTACCATTACCATACCCATACCATTACCATTACCATTACCATAGTTAGTTACCATTACCATTACCATTGCCATTACAAATATAACCACAGTAATCACCAATGGATTTCTGCTCATTGGCTCGCCGTAATCGCTGTTCCGGCGGAACATAACGAGGGGTCCATGGGTCTCAAGAAGGTCTGCGTCTGGGAGGTGGAAGAGGTGAGCCTCAGTGCGATGAGCTAAGAATAGTCATCTGCGTCTGGTGGTTTCATCTGTTTCATTATGGGGTCAGCTTAAAGAAACGTCCAGTCTATATATTCTATATGAAATATTATCATAATCTCATATATGATCTCCAGAAAATTAATTTTCATATTATCATCATTCATCTATTATGAGTTCGTCACTTATAGGATTATGACATTCCCATGGGATTATATTGATAATCATTCGTGACGAACTAATAATAGATGTTAGACTATTATGATAATATAGTCTATTAATATGATGCACTCATATTATAATAGATGTTAGACTATATAATAGATTAGTGACGAACTAATATGATGCACTCATCGTCACGAATCATTTCCAACTGAATGGGGAGTTTCATGGGATCAGTGCATCAAACGATGGGATCCCATGGCTGGTCGAAGAGTTGCCCTGACTTCTCGGTGGATTTTCCCCAAGGGATCACCCTTCAAATCTCGAGGAACTCGGGGAAATCGATGATTTCGATGGGCCCTGTTTTTTGGGGGGTGGACAAGTAAATGGCCCATTAATAGATGATTTTCCCAGTAAAACCTCCTTTTTTAATGGATTTTCCATAGCCATGTTAAATAACCAAAGGGTAAATTAACAGTTGGACCCTGAACATGGCAATGTCATGGGAATACCCACTGGGAACCCAACCATACTGGTTGGTGGTGCAATTTCACCATCTTGAAAAATGATGGAGTTCGTCAATGGGAAGGATGACATCCCATATATGGAAAATAATCCATTCATGTTAGAAACCACCAACCAGATTAACATAGACCCTGAACATCACCAATTTTGAGTGGAAACTAATCTGAACCAACCCCTATCTTGCAGGGTTTATGTTAATTTACTGAAGGGCATTTATTTTTAGCAAAAAAATGCAGGTAACAAAAAAACATCAACCAGCTGCAGCCCAAGGTGGCGTTGTGGTGCTGCTACTCACTGTGCTGGTGATGGTCTTGGTGCGAGTGACCTTGAAGTCATAGACCCCGGATGTATGTGAGCTGCTTCGGTTGCCAATGTGTTTTGGAACATCCTGAACATCAAACGCTGCCAAAATACAGACCGTTTAAATCAAACTTGAAGATTTTGAATCGAAATTGTGACTAAACAAATTACTGAAACTGGAGATTTCTGGAACAACTCAGAGGCCCAGTGGTTTAAATGTTGTTTCCAGGAACCTAATTTTTTCCAGTGGCATTCCACCATCTGCGCAGCCAAGTGGTCAACCAGCCGTGCTTTGCCAAGTGGCAGTGGTGACAGTGCTGCTGGTCATCGATGTCGTTTCTGGGCGACGGTGCGCAGCTGGAACCCATGGTGCGGACACGTGGTGACTTGGGGATCCCCCATTTTACGAACCCCCCCCCTATAGCATGGCATAAACACATAGAAACCCTTTGTTCTATCCATTTAGAGCAACTGCATAAGCTGGGAACATCCTTAGAGTATCGGATAGAGGTTTCCATGAACAATTCTACTGGAACATCAACAGCTCAGGGATGTGGCCGGCTCTTAACCAGACTCTGATCTACCGGCTTGTAGTCCTGACTCCATCGCAAACCTATTTGTCACTCAACTTAATTGGAGATCATCATCCCCTTAAATAGGCTTGAACATATCAAACCTATGTCCGAAACAATCAGCCCAACATCAAAGCACAGTTAGAGGTTTCCATAGGTTTCCCAAAATGGGGAATACTCCAAAAACATCCACGTCATGGATGACCAATTTAGTATTGAAACCCATGGTGACTTGGGGATCCTACATTTTAAGCACCCCCCCATGTGGAGCCGTTTCGCTGCAGCCCAGGGGCGACTGATTGTACTGGTCAAGGTGGTCTGTCAGCGGACGGTGGAATTGAACCATGACTCACAGGGTAAGTGGATAAACCCAATAAAACATCCCCAAAATCACAATCTACATACAAGTAGGAGTTTCCATAAATGGGGGTTTCCATAAATGGATGGTTTGTAAGGGAAAATCATATTAAAATGGATGATTCAGGGGTACCCCCCATCTTAGGAATGGGTGGTATACACCATCAACAAATGGTACATCATTGGGTGTCCCACATCATCATGGCAGGCGTGTTGACCATGAAAAATTGGCAATCCCTAAGAAAACTGTGAAGAACACGTGCGAAAACATAAGAAACCATGATAATTTCAATTATTTAACCATCAAACATATGTGGATAATTAAATTAACTAATCACCAGGAACCTTCTTTTTCTCAACAAAAATATGCAGTTTTTGATATTGGAACATATAATATGTACTCATTGGTTGATCTATACATCTAGGCCTTCTAGGCCTTCTAGGCCTAGACGTTGTGGCAAACCTTGGAATCGGGGAAGGTGGGATGGGAAGATCTACCCGAAAATCGCTGGTGAATGGATGTTTATTGATGATTTTTATTTGCCCCTTCACTGTAATCCCTTCTTTACAAAAGACATAGGATTGGTTTGGCAGGGTTGCCACTTCCGTATTTTTTTGGTTGGAAACAATAGGATTTTTGTTGTAATCGGTGTCTTAACACTAGTCCCGCAGCGAGATCGCCAAGGCTCAACGCTGGTGGTGCTGGATGTGTCCTCAGCGCTTCAAAAAATGGTCAAGTCTCATGCCTCTGCGCCATGACCCTCTGGTGATATAACACAGTTTGGGAACTGGAAAACCACAAAATGGGTATATGATATGATGGGATATGATGGGTATATGATAGGCAATTCATCAACAAACAGTTACAAACAAGCCAGTTTCATCCATTTTCCATAGTTATGTTAGATTAAGAGATCTGCTGTCACTTCTGGAACTCACCGTCCCAAACAAAAGAACCGGTACAGTTGCATGTTGTGGCACCTGCACCGGCATTTTAGCAATGTGTGCATGACGCATGCCGGAAAAAAAAGTCGTTGCGAGTTCCTCCATCCGACACATCAAGCTGTTGATTTGTCCGCAATTTGTGCGCATTTCCTGACTTGGATGCTGCTTCAATGTACTTTTATGCGGTGATGGTTATCGAATTCCAACTCTAATCAGCTACATTCAGCTACTACCCTCTGGTAATTTAACAAAACTATAGAAAATCACAATTTTTAATAGGTACATCAGCTATAAATGGCCATTTTCAATAGGTATGTTTGTTTACTGGAGGCTTTTCATAGGTAAATCATCTACAAATGGGCTGTACGTTCCATAGCCATGTTCCCACGAGCACCTGGATTTCCACCCATTCGTACCATGCGACCGTCACCGTGGTGAAGGTGGTCTCAGGTGGGAACTTTTGGGGATATCATGGGGATGTACCCTCTATATAAACATATCAACATACAAAAAAAAAAACAAAAAAACAGGTTAACAAATCACCATGCTATTAGCTGGGTCAATCAACTATTTCGACTGGGCCATGTTCAATAGCTAACGTTAGTCATTACCAGATGGGTAACCAACGAGGGATGTAATGATGAGTAATCAAACGTAACAAGCCGGAAAATCCCAGCTTGTCCATGGAGGTTTATAGCTGGGAAATGGCATCCGGAAAGCCATGTTTGGCATTGACTCGCCGGGTCAGGGACTTGCCACTGACCTATGATTTAAACAAAGTTGCCATTTGGCCTACCCTTTGTCTAAGTCGAAAATCGAAAAACTTGTACAGGTTAGTTAATAGAAATATCCCCACGGGGTACCAAAAAAATACCCATGATGGTTCTTGGCACTCAAATCATGAATGCAGAAACCACTGATGCAAACATTCAACCTAATTTTAGTATGTTCAAGTGATTTTCATCTGCATCAGTGGCTTCTACATCTGTTACCTCACCAGCGATTTGCATGTGAACTCTCAGCATCGAGAACATTCTATAATGATCTTTTTTATCTATAATGATCTATGTACATAGTAGTCAGGTCAGTTAGCTTCCATAGTACCCTCCAGTAAATCAACATAGACCCTGCCAGATGGGGGTTGGTTCAGACTAGTTTCCACTATTTTATTGGTCAGTTTCGGGGTCCAACTTTTAATTTACCAGAGGATAGTAATATCCATTAACCACCATTAACCATCATTAACCATCATCAACCAACTGTAGATTGTGAGTCACCATTTGTTTTCGTGTGAGAAAACTCCATCATTTGGGATCTGAGTCTTTGACCGTGGTGGCGGTGGTGGATTCGGTGGTGGTGTTGGTGGCAATGACCTGCACAGCGAACGCAGGGTGAACGCTGAAAAAACATGCGAATCTTTAGATACCCTGCCCCCCTCAAAAACAAAAAAAATCAAGAAAAGCTGGGCCTCTTTGCAATTTTCACATATGTTCTCCCTTTGATGGCGAAAAAAAAACATTGTCAAGTGGGTATGGGTTAAAACAAGGCACCATTAGACAAATAAATAAATGGTGAGGACTAAAAACTTCGAAAAATCTCTGGTCTGGTGCTCAATAAGAGATACCTTGCCAAATTTCTGATCATTTGGTGCAACCTTTGGGTTGGTTCCTCAAGGCTTGCCATTATAGTTTCATATATATATAATTAAATAGTTTCATGAAACTATAATGAAACAATAAAACTATGAAACTATATATGTGGTGTATATATATATGATAACTATTATAGTTTCAGTGATATGGGTGATGATCACCTGAGGTTTGGCTCAAAACTGATTCAGATTCTGAAAAGATACTGATGCCGGTCCGACGAGCATTTTTTTTCAAACATCACGAACTAAACATAACTAAACTGTTGCCAATCCATACTTTTAATTTCTATATATTTCTATACTGACACTGTTTAAGAATAATGAGCCTGACTAGCCAGTCCTTCACCATTTGGACCCAGGATCTGGGATTTTGCCACCAAAATCTGCATCAACATGCGGATTTGAGGGGCCATGATCATTCACGGCAACGAGTTTTAGAGGAAAAAACACCATAACTTATCAAACCATATCAAAGCCCAAAATTCTTGCAACTCCAAAAATTGAAACACTCAACTGTTTGAACACTCAACTTGTTATTTTGTTGGATCTCAAAAACACGTCACAACGGAGCTCAAGCCCTTCCCTTCGGCTTTGCTGAGGTCCAAACCACTTCACCTTGCGAAACTCAGGGGACTCCGAGGATTCACCGGCCAAAAAATGGGTCAAAGTGATGGGAACTCACTTTGGGTCACCCAGATAGTGGGTGGTCAAGTCATGTGAACTGTCTGACTTGGGTCTCCACGTCCGACGTTGGAATATCACTTCGATTCCAGCTGGTGATGTCTGATCCCCGGAAGGCCTTCGTTTTTGCCTCTTTGCGGGATTTCTGGCCAAAGAATCCAATTGAAAAAGCATGAAAAAACCCATCTCCTCGAAGGGATGAATCATGGATCAAGGCCCGGCCTCTGAGAAGCAGCCACAGCAGCCAGTTCCACAGGGCTTTCCCCATGGCACGCTGTGGGGCACTGAACATGGGCACAAGTTGAAGGCAGTGCCTTGGCCGTAGCTAAGGGGCCATGTTGGGTGTAAATGCTGGGTCAAGTGATTTCAGATTTGAGATGATCTGAGGTATGAACAGTTCATCTTAAGACTTGTTATGCTGCAAAAATGTAGTGTTAAAATCAAAACGACTTACTTTTGATTAGTTTTCTCATTTCCACCAGAATCAAGGTACTTCGATCAACAAATGTCATATGGATGCTGCAATGCCCGTGCGGTCTTGTTGCGGCATCTTGGCTTCGTGGCTGCCTGGACTTTCTTCATGTTTGAACCACCATGACCAACATAGCTGCAGCCGGGAAACCAACACATAGGATCATGATGCTGAACATGCCGTCTTACTGTGGGAAAGTTGTTTTTCAATCCCGGGATACCACGGATCAGTCGACCCAGTCGTTGATTGACCGAATTTACTCAACAAATGGCCCATGGCTTATACTTCCGTTATTTCTGACACCTGTGAAATCACAGCCATTCTTAAAAAAAACAACATCCTTTTCGTTTGTCTCTGGGAAAGGCCCGAAATCCATCCCCGCTGGAACCAGCACCAAAAAACATCAAAAATCAAACGATTTTCCAGCGATTTTTACGGGTAGAAACCATAGCAAATGCCACCTGCACCTTTGCCAACGCCGCAGTGGCCATGATTTTCCGCACTAAAGGGCTGGAGGCCTCCATGGCAATCCATGGTAGATGGCGCCCCACTGGATGTTGAAATATGACCATGTCAGGAACCTATAAGCAGAAATAGGGTGGAACAATATGGAAAAAAATGTAAAAAAAACGATGTGAACATTATTGAAAAGGCTGCGGAAAACATTTGGTTGCTCATTTTTTAAAATATAGTTAAATGCATCCTGCAAAAGAGACATACATAATTGATGGGTGTAACAATGTTCAACATGTGGTGACATTGTCCGCAACTTGCTCATGGGTTAATCATGAAGATGTGGTGGAAAAGTAGCAACAGCTAGGGACGCAGCAGCACTTGTGGCTAAGAACACCATCCGTTACCAAACATGGCAATTTGAATTTCCCATAAAAACCTCCAGCTAGCCATGATTGATTGCTGGAGGATAAACTCATGGGGAATTAGCCAGGGGGTTCTGAAAGTACAAAGTCTTAGCTGCAAACGGACATTCGCATCGTATCATTTTTCGAGCCTATATCTATACACATATAATACCATTTCGTTATTTAATGTAGCTATGGAAAATCACAATTTTTGATTGGTAAATCATCATAAATCCTCTATAAATAGCTATGTTAAATAGCCAGAGGGTACTGATCTTTCAAACATCTGGGATCACAATCCGTGGAACCGCACGTGGGAAGCATTCCCAGTTCCATTCCATTCAGTTGAGCAGTGTTCAACCCCCGGGTCTCAAGATGCTGAATGGATTATGTCATAATCACCAACACACACATACATACACACACACATATATATTTATTTATTTACGCATATTTATATACCACAATACAATATATAGTATGATGCTTCTCCTAATTAGTAAATTGGATAGGAATTATATATATATAGTATAACCCCCATATTATCATCAAACAACAGGGGTAAATATTGCAGCCACGCTTTCCAACCTCTCCTGCCCTCAGCGTCAACGCCTGGCGTGAACGATCGTAGGTCGGGTCGCTGTTTTTTTTTGGTCCCAAAAAAACTGAGAACGTGTTGAAAATGGGTGTTCATCTGCCCAAATATTGTACATTAGTGTGCTAAATCTGCCAAAATATGGTACTAATTTGGTACTAAAGTTTCTGATCTCCATGTCAAAAATTAGAATATATTTGTATGTTTCGTGATGTTGCTACCGGGACAATTCTGTAGCTGCTATTTGGACCCAAAGGCAAGTGGGCGAAGACATGTTGCCATAGAGGTGCAGTGGAACTATGTTCCCCTCACTAGGGGCCTCTAACCAACCTGAGGGCCGACTCTAGAAGCCGGGACCCAACATCCAGAACGATCTACAGCTTGATTATGTACAGCACCCTATCAGTAGTAGCGGGTAAAGGATCGAAAAACTATTATTGGTATCAAAAAAATATCCAAAAGGGGTCAAAAAAATATTGGTATCAAAAAAATACCACCAGAAACTTACACCCTCATCAACCATTGAGCGCACCACTTTCTCCACAATTGCGCACCAAATGCTCTCATCGCTAACTCGGATGCTAATACGAATGCGTCGGTCTCCGGACTGTTACTGCACATATGTCGGTCCGTCTACATTAATATGTGGATGTATGCATGTACGCACGCGTGCATGTATGTTTGTATATGTCTGCATGCATGTCTTTAGTGGATGTATGATGATGTATGCATGTGCGCACGCGTGCATGTGTATTTACATGAATGTCTGCATGTACACGTATGTTTTAAGGCAGCCTTCTTCTACTGGACGTGTCTTACTTTTGCCTGAAGGCCCAAAGACTAGGACGCCAACATAAGGTAGCAACTCAAGATGTAGCAGTACGCTTTAAACATGCGCACAGGTGCGCATGTTGCGGCTTGCGCAGTGCAGAGCAGATCTACTCATGAGGGATGAGGGTAGGCATAACAGTGCCTGTGAAGGCACAAACATCAAGACGCCAGCAGAAGGATTGCAGACTCAGGATGTAGGAGTATGTCTTAAACCTGTGCACAGTTGCGCATAGAGCTCAGCACAAGATGTACCAGTATGCTATAAGCTTGGGCGCAGTTCTGCGCAAAGCAGATCTACTCACCAAATCAGGCAAAGATTAAAACATCTTTGATACAAACACGGTTTTCTCAAGGTTTCGCATAAACCTAGCAATTCGCAACAAGAACACAGGGGTTTGTGAAGACCTACTATTTCGCATGGCCCTTGCAACGTGGTGAAGCTGCAACTTTCTAATTTGCTGCTTTCCTTCCTTCCTACCCTCCTTCCTTCCTTCCTTCCTTTCTTCCCTCTCCCAGAATAGATTTTGTTTTGATCCCGATAATAATTTGTTTTGATCCTAAAAATAAATATATATTGATCCTAGTAATATTTGTTTTTTGATGCGTATCCCAGTAGTAGTAGTAGTAGCAGTAGCAGTAGCAGTAGCAGTAGTAGTAGTAGTAGTGGATTTTATATAGTGTACATATATATATATAATTCGTGTATAAATAAGATTAGCTATAGATATTAATAAGTATGTTCTAGTCACCCAAACTTCACGGGCTGAAACCTATCAACTTTCACAAGTCACCACGATGGCTGAATCTGAGCCCCATACCATGGCAGATGGTACAGGCCTGCGGTTGCTGTCTTCGGTGAAAATGCGTTGGAATCTGGACCCTGGAGAAAAGGGAACACGGTGAATCCAACATGAACATGTTGGGTCAAAGGGTTCATGATCCTCAAAGGGAGAGCGCCCAATGCGTCCGCTATTCCAAACCGGTGAAACGGACACTGCAGGGGACGCCGGAACGCAAACCCATGGTCTTTAGCGAGCCATATTCATTAAAAAAACAATTATATGAGCCACACTCTTGAGTGCCATTCATATGATGCATTTTTCAAACATGAGAAATCATGAGAAATCATCAGAAATCATAGGCCTTTTTATCACATAAAGAATCACAATCACATTAAAGCCTTATCATTCAATCATGGAACTCCAATCCTTCATCCAATGGAATCCGGGTCCACTAGGTCCACTGGGTCTGATCATTCCGAAGATGTTGGATGTTTTTCACAGCTCCAAGAAATCATGGTGGATGTGGGGGAAATCACATATTTGGGATCATACAATACGGGTGTTTGATACCAGGGGGGTGGCATTATACAAGAAGAACCAAAGAACCTTTCAACAATGAAGTGCATATGCACTAAACATCACTAAACAACATCAAACAGTTCATATTCAAATCCGCTAAACCGTTAAACATTGAGTACAACCAAAGACTCAGAGGGTATATCAATGTATATCACCTGAGTCCCCCTATGTCTTAGATATTGAAATCCCAAACACCCACTGCCGCCACTGCCCGCGCCCAGCACACCTGGCACCGGGTTGGCCGGCCCCGCGAGCCGCCGCCGTTGAGAAGCTGCTTTTGTTTTTCATGTGCGACCCGGTGAAACATCTACAGGCCTAGAGGGCAACCCCATCATTTATCATGTTTCATCATCTTTCATCATCTTTCATCATCTTTCGTTGCTTTGGCAGAAAATCTTTGCATGGGAAAGATGACAGCTTCAACATAGCAAAGTTATCTTCAAATCTCATCAGTGCACTGATGGTCAAAGCCACCCCCCCAAAACAGGCGACTGCTTTTGGGTGTTGGAACAGGGCCCGAGGATGCTCAAGGGCTGGCCCATCATTCCCCCCCTAGACGCGCGAAACACTTTTTGGCGATCGATCTTCATGATCTGTGCCACCTGAAGAATCTGCAATCCTGCGCCTTGTGACATGGGCCAAAGTCAAGTTGCATCCTATGCTCAAGGAGAAGTCAATTGATACCAAGCATAAGATGCGGCCCTTCTTGATAACAAACATAGAATATGTATGGCTAATGTCTATATACTTGTCTCTCTTACTCTCTCTCTCTCCCTGTGCACACACATTTACAGATATACATGTATATATACATGTATATATATATATATTGATATTGCCTATATAAGTCTGCACAAATAGATATATAGATATATTAGGTTAGATGGATAGATCAGATTAGATCAGATTAGATTAGTTTAGATTTAGATTTAGATTTAGATTTATTTAGATTTAGATTTAGATTTAGATTAGATTAGATAGATAGATAGATAGATTAGATAGATTAGATAGGTAGCAATTTTATAGGATCCAAGACCGATCCAGTATTCCAAATGTATTTGTCTGATTGTTTCACTTATAGAGTACCTCAACCCAACCTGTGAGATCCAACTCTTTGACAGTGCCCCATGCCTGGAGATTGAATTTCAG